CACATTCCCTCCCCCTCCCCTCTCTCTCTCTCTCTCTCTCTCTCTCTCTCTCTCTCTCTCTCTCTCTCTCTCTCTCTCTCTCTCTCTCTCTCTCTCTCTCTCTCGCGTGCACACACACACACACACACACAGAAACAACTTGGATCCCATGAGGCATGAGTAGAAAACCAGAAAGTTTCTTTGACAGCTTTGAAGAAATTCATTATCTCTCATAGTTGCCAAGCAGAAATGGCTGAGGATCAAGCTCAGGGTCTGACTATACAGGCTTTGGAGTTGTAATGTCAATTAAATGTGAGAAGTAGTTCTATTATGCTAAAGTAAGGGCACTAGTGGAGATCTGGGACTCTTTGACTTGGGATGTAGGCATCTGAGCAGAGATAAATGAGGATGAGAACTCTGAACAAGAGTTAGAGCTTCAGCATAGCCAGGATGGAGAAGCCCAAGGCCTGGTCTTGGAGGAGAATGCTTGTACACTGAAGATGTTATTAGGATCTTACCAAATACTTACCTGAAATTCAGGTAAGTATTTTATGTATTGAGTTGAGCATCTGAGAATCCTTCTAAGTGGGTTACTTGAAGCTTTTAATTAATAATAGCTTACAGTCTATTCTGCTTGAGATGTCAGAATTTCTCATACTGAGAGTAAGGAATCTAAAGGTTCAGGAAGATGGGAATGTTGGATTTATTCTATTATGTGCATCCTGCTTAGTCATGTTTATTCATTCCATCTCTAGGAGAGTCCATAAAACTTGCTTTCATCAAGATATTGAGTGGGGGGGCACAGAAAATGTGACTCTTTTCAATAGGTTGGAGATGATAATGTCACTGTGAAATATTGAGATAATGGTAAAAGGTGACTAACTATCAAGACATGTTCAGTACAATTACTGTGATGATCCTCATGAAGAAAAGATATTCAAGATATTTGATTGCAAGAATATAGGATGGATTCCCAAGTTTCTAAAAAAGCATGCTTAAGCACTGCTTTATATATGTAAAGAAAAAAATTCTAGGATTGATGGGCAGAAACCTAAAGGAAGTCACTATTCCAGAGATTCAAGACATATTATCCAATTCCTGGTCTTAAATCAGTTCACAAACCTGGAATCCCTTAATTAAAAGAGAGGCCATACTACTTTGAGGAAGGATCCTGTAGTGCAGGCAAGTATAGAAAGAAACCCTTCCCTGTGGCCATTTCCAGAGGAACCAATGGATTTACCAGGATGATTGTGAACTGAGGAATGTGCAATTTTCATACCTTCTGAATAGATAGATATTGGCACTGAAAATAACCTCTGCAGTCTCAAGATAACACCAGAATTATTCTAGTGATCAGAGTAGGGATTTTAAAAAGTCAAGTATTTTCTTGATTCAGATCCATTTCATTATAGAGTCCAGTGGAATTAAAGATCCATTCTGGGAATATTTTTCCAGTTCCAAAATGTATGTGGGAATAGAAACCTGACATGTTGTTTATGATTATGAACTAAGGAATGCAGAAGTCACATTCCTCAGGACTATTATAATTGATGTGTCTCAGTATAAAATTGAAATTATACTTTATCACTGGGAAGATTATATATTAGTGCTACCATTAACAATCTGAAAGATAAAAATCTTTATCTTTTAATGTGTCTGTTTGGCTTATGCAATAGTGTCTTAGTTTATTTTATGCTATTATAACAGTGGAAAATTCATAAAGAAAAGAAATTTATTTCTCACAGTTGTGGAGGCTGGGAAGTCCTACATCAAGATGCCAGCATCTGGTAAAAGCCTTAGTTCTGTTCTATCTCTTAGTAGGCAGAAGGGCAAGAGATTGCTAGTCTGCAAATTTGAGGGGGGAAGAGAGGAGCAAACTCATCCTTTTATCAGGAACCCACTCCCAAGATAACAGCATTAAGCCATATATGAGGCAGAGCCCTCATTATCTAATTTTCTCTTAAAACTCCCACCTTTCAATACTGTTATGTTAGGGATTAAGTTTAGAACACATGAACTTTAAAGGACACATTCAAATCATACCAAATCACTGAATTAGCTTTGGAAAAATGGGGATTATTAAAAAATTAATCAAACATTAAAACCAATCATATTTGTAGTTCTACATGTAGGATCTTTTCTACAGCAAATCAGTACAACCCTTGGCACCTAGAATATAGCCGTTGACCTGAAACCCAGAATTTTTTTTTCCCAATTCCCATCAGCTGAACTAATCAGAAGCAATTTACCTTTCTATGACTTTGATAGTATTATCATTGTCTTACTTTTTCTACTCTGTGATAGAGTATCATTTCAGAGGGACCTTTGTTTCCTTGATATCCACCAGAACATCATGATAGTCTATTATTGTGATGGCATTATGCAAATAGGATCTGGTAAGTAGGAAGTAGCAACTATCCTAGATACTTTTTAAAACACTGTACCTTCCAGGTATAATATAATGGTGCTCATCTGTATTCCAAGAGTCTCAGAATGCTGAAGTTCAAGGCCAGCTTGGGTAACTTAGCAAGACCATCTTAAAATAAAATAAAATAAAAAGGGCTGGGGATGTAGCTTAGTGGTAAAGCACCCCTTAATTCAATCTCCAGTACTGCAAAAAACAAAAACCCTGCACATGATCTTATTTCCTTAAGGGGCTCATGAACATTTAGCTGAAGAAGAAAAAGTTCTAGCCTGGCTCATGATATATGTGAGCACCAGCTTGAAGTAGCCAGCCAATGAATTATGGCCCCATTCCATAATTGAGTGGTCCTGAGAGATAGTGATGAAGAGAAATTATTCCAGTGGACATAACTTTGAATAATGCATCTAATTGTCCTCTTTGTTAGGAGAAGAGTTGGCCTGAGGTATAAATCTATAATGATTTATGCTTAGTAGCTAATAGGTTGGTCAATGACTTGGAAAGAAGAAGATTTGCAATAAGAAAGTCATTGAGAAAGGTATTATGGATGGATTTTCAAAATTGCCCAGAATGTGAAAATATTTATGAAGTACATTGCTCCCCATCACAGGACATATATTCTGTTAATCAGTTATGTACAATGATCTGTCCTATGGATGCCAGTGAGCCTCTTTACCCAGTCACTCTAGTGCTTGCTTAATGAGTCTATATGGCAATAGGAATTTAGGATAAGAGTAGATTCAACAACATGGACTTCTGCTTGCCATGTATAATTCAATTACTGCTACTGCAGAGTGTTTGAACTGCTTATAGAAAAAGTCATTGCACAGACTCCAGTATGATATTGTCCCCAGTATGATCTATCAACCATATGGTAGAAATTTAATTATATTAGATCCCTTCTATGGAGGGCAGAGCAATTTACCTTTCCTGTCTATAAACTACCAGCACCACAATTCATGGACTTCTAGAGTGCCTTATTCATCACCAGGTGTCACAAACAGCAGGATCTTTGAGAAAGAAACTGATTTTACTCTGGGGAAATTGTGGCACCATGATTACGTTCATGGAATTAGTTGATTTTACCCCAAACCCATCACTTAAGAAGTAGCTAGTTAGATAGAATGGAGGAAAGGTCTGCTGAAGAATCAGTTGTATTGCTATATGAGAGAGAACTCCTGTGAAGATATGGTATAGGAATTAATCCTAGTAGTCACTTTATGTTTAATAATAAACTTTATGTTTAATAATTCTATTAAGTAGGAAGTTAAACTTACCACCTGGCCATTTTGGAGCCTTCAGACCACTGAACCAATAATTAGAGAGGGGGGTCATTGTACTAATCAGGGTGATTGATCCTAGTTATCACAAGGAAATTGGTCTTGCTCCACAAAGGCAATAAAGAGGGTGCTTCTTAGTAGTCACATGTCTACTATTAATGGATACTGGGAACTTGCTGCAACCCAGTAAAGATAAGGTCACTAAGGACTTAGAGACTATAGGAGAGAAGTTTGGGTCAGTTCACCAGATGAGGTATTAGTAGAGGGTAATGAGGAAAATGGAAGCTATAATTATTACCATGGGCTATGGGCCCAATAACTACCTCTTCTCCTCTTTCTTTACTATTCGAACCTCAGCTTGATTTGACTTTTTTCCAATGGTCATGTCCTTCATGACTTCAGACTGAGACATTCTTCCATCCTGGGGGATAAATTTGAGTCTAGCCTCATTCCTCTTTTTCAAGAAATACTTCAGGATTGGACAATTCTAGACAGTGACTAGAAGGAAAAGTCTGTCAGCATGTTCCCAGGAAGGCTTCTCTTGCCCTTATCAAGGTGCTCATGACACAGACATGCCTTTTTCTGTTTAGGTGTGGATACTTGCCTCTAAAGACTGTAATGCAAATGCTGTTTTGAAACTATGAGAGAAGCCAGCAGTAGAATAGAATCCAATGCACTGAGGATGCTTTACCTTTTCTGGATTGGTCTGTGCTTAGACATGGTTATTTCCCAATATCTTTTCCCCCTTTTATATTAGGCACCCTAAATTTTAGTTACATACATGGTATATTTATTAACTAGGTGGAACATGGTAAGTCAATGATATTTGAGAAGAGATGATATATGAGAGTTTTATGAGAGTAAGTATCCTTCATTTTGTTTAAGCTAGTTTGAGGTACATCCCAAAACATTCTGATTGATATAAATATTTTTGCTACTTATAGAGGGAGGGAACAAATGGGGGCATCAACTACTAGAAACTCCTGATTAAGGGAGCCCTTTACTTTTTTTATTAGGGCTTTATAGTTATACATAGTATTTGTATTCATCCTGAGAAACTCATGTGTGGAATTCTATTTCAGTTTCTGCTCCCTTTTCCTTCCTTCCCTTTCCTTCCCTGTCTCCTTCCAGTCCTCCTCCCCTCTCCCTTCCTGTGCTTTACTAGACTTCCCTTCTGGAAGACCTTTACTTATGATAGGATAAAATGAGCAACTTAAAGGAGCCAACAGAAGAAAAAATAATCGAAGACACAGAAGGGAAAGAATAATTTATGGATTAACATTTTAGAGAAGGAAGGAAGAGAAAGAGTACTTAATACATATGGAGGAATATTGTTTTTAATTGAAAATAAACTTGATGTTTGACTTAAAAAAACTTTATAAGATATAATTCAAGTACTATACAATTCACAATTTAAGTTGTACAATTCAGCAATTTTTATGCTCTAATTTCTCCCCAGCATCCCATACTCTGTCTATCATCCCTAAGTAACAATTAGCTTCCTTTTTGTATATGTAGATTTTCCTATTCTAGGAACTTCATATAAATGAAATCATACAATTTGTGGTCTTTGTGGCTGGCTTCTTTCACTTGGCATAATATTTTCCAGGCCCATCTATGTTGTAGCATATATTAGTACTTAATTTTTTATGACCAAGTAATATTATGGTACATGAATATATACCATACTGTGTTTTCCCATTCATTAGTTATTTAGAATTTGGGTTGTTTCTATCTTTGAATATTATTATTAATCTTGTTATGAACTTACTGTGCATGTTTTTGTGTGGACATATTTTGTAATTTCCTTGGGACATACATATATATATAAAATTCCTAGGTCATGTTAATCCCTTGTTTAACTTTTTGAATAACTACAAGACTGTATTCTAAAGTGACTGCACCATTTTTTATTCCTACCACCAGAGTGTAAGGATGTCAATTTCTCAACATCCTCATCGACACTTGTTGTTGTCTTTCTGACTACAGTTAACCTAGTAGGCAATGAAATGGTATCTTATTGTGATTTTGATTTGCATTTCGCTAATAACTAAAGATGTTGAGCATCTTTTCATGTCCTTATGGCCATTTGTATGTCTTCTATGGATGAATGCCAATTTAAATCTTTTGCCTGTTTTAAAAAATTGAGTTATTTGCATTTTATTTAATACCTCAGCTTCCAATTCAATACCATAAAGTTCATTCTATCTTCTTTCTTTCTTCTTCCTTATTATGCTTTACTTCCGGTATTAAACATGACCCCTCTCATTATGCATCACATATTTATTCAGTCCTAGAACATAAATAAAATAATTTCAGAATTTCTAATTCCTATAAGCTGGGAGAAAAAAGTTCCAAACTAGAGTGCAATGTTTGTATATAGTTCTTTTTGTCTTTAGGCTTGTAGCATGCAGTAAATGCATTCTACATCCTTCAGTGTAGTTTTGTCATTTACCTATAATACAATTAGGTTCACTTTTTTTTTTAACTGCTTGCAATTCCACTTTTAGTTCTCACCATATTGTGGTTAGTTTTAATTATTTATCCATTTTGGAGAATGGGAAACAGTACCACGGTTCTAAGAATCAGTTACACAAAAAGTTTACACTTAGAGAATAGTACCTCCAATCCTTATGACCTACTTTCCATTCTCCTTTGTTTCTGCTCTGTTCTTACTATCTCCCATAGGTAAACAATGTCTTTGGCTTCTGTTTATTCTGATTGTATTTATTTTGCACAGATTAACAAGACATTTCTTTTTTTTTCACATTCTTTCTTACAGAAAAGTTATATTATCAGCCTCTTGACACCCCTCCCCGCTATTTAACAGGAGGGAGATTACTTTCACTAGTTCATAAAGTTCTTCTGTATTCTTTTTTTATAACTATGTAGCATTTTATTGTGTAGATATATTATAAGTTATTTAAACCCTTTTCTATGTATGTGTATTTATCTTGTTTCCAATATTTTACAGTTACAAAAAAATCCACAATAAATAACCATGTATATTTGTATTTTCATATAATGGAACATTTTCCTCAAAGTTCATTAAAATCATCATTTAAAAAAAACAAATGTCTTCTAGTAATGGCTATTAAAAGACTCAAGAAACAGTGACACTCAGCCCACAGTAAGCACAACAGCACCCAGACCTTTTTTTCTAAATACCTTATAGCTAGCCAAAATATTTCTTCATTAAAGGAGCCAGATCTTTTTGGAGAAATAGCTAATTCCAGTTCTGAAGCAGGGAAAATAAAACAGAAAACCTGGAATATTTCCTTGTGCCAGAAAACAAGGAAATATTCAAAGACAAATCATGCACATGTTAAAAGGACACAGGAGATGGTTCATAGGTACAGGGGTGAAGAAATTTCTCTTCAGTATGGTTTCATTAGTGTTGGGGAATGTAATTCTGTTGAACACATCCTCTTTTAAAACCATTATGTAAACTTGGTTTACAGTGTTCAGAGCTCTTAAGTTGCTAGAACTACTGACTGAAATATGGAATGTGTAAGATGATTTGGCAGCAGTGGGTAAGAGAGTTTGGTTTCTAACATGTTGATTTTGTAATGCTGGTAAGAAACTGAGTAGAGATAACTGAAAACTGAGTAGAGATAACTTCAGGCAGTTGTAAGGTCATCTCTGGTGTGATGATTCTTTCTCCTTAAGAGTACATAAGACTAGATATACAGATTTGACAATCAGCAGCATGGTGGTCCTATCTCAAATCATCATAGGAATTTCGCTGAGAGTGCAAGGTGAAGAGTAGCTTTTGATGAACAGTAAGCAGAGACCAAGAATATGGTTCTTAAAAGGCTAGCAGTGGTCTTTTTTAAAAGAGAACTGATCAATAGATAGTGTGGGTAACAACCAAATGCTGGGGTGAAGAAAACTGAGAAAATGAAAAATGGGATGAAGGTATCTTGTGGGTCAGGTAACATGAAGTGACAGTGTTTCTAGGGTATTGACAACAACTAAGTTTGTAGGCAGAAATAAGCAGCAAAAAAGGAGAGATCAAGAATAATACATATATATGTATATAAATATATATATATATATTTAGTTATAGATGTAATGCTGGTAAAAAACTGTAGTTATAGATGGACACAGTGTCTTTATTTTTCTGTGGTGCTGAGGATTGAACCCAGTACCTCACACATGCGAGGTAAGTGCTCTACCACTGAGCCACAACCCCAGCCCAAGAATATTTTTAAAAAGTATTTATTACCTTTTGCTTTTTCATTCAAAATTGTCTGCAACCTTTATGTCTGCCAAGGCCCATCTACACTATGTAGTATTATTTTACTTCAAATATTTACTATTGGGGGCTGGGGCTGGAGCTCAGCAGTAGAGCACTCTCCTAGCACCATATAAAAATAAACAAATAAAATAAAGGTATTAGGTTCGACTACAACTAAAAAAAAATATTTGCCATTGTACTATATATCTCCATACTTCATCTCTGCAAATTTTGTGGGGAAATGTTACACACTAGATGTTTAGCTACTTACAGTTAGTTTATGATGAATCTTCAGGTTTAATTGATCTTCTTGATCCAAATTTTTCTAATCTGATTTTAAAATATAGACCCGCTTAGTATACAAATACAAAATGATACCCTCTTTATTATCATAACCTTACTTTTAAAATGGAAAAAATAAAAATGACTCTTGGAGAAAAATTATTTTAACTACTTTGGGTATATAAATATTCCAGCATGTTTGTGCTAATATGTAACTGACCTAGGAAGCAGGTATTTGAACATCCAGAATAATACAGTATATTGGGTTGTGAATTTCTGTCACACAATAATGCTGTTAAATTCTTTGAGAGAATGTGTGCAAAGGGGTGCTGTTTATTTATGTGTGTTTTCCTTTGAAAACGTTGCAGTACGTCGTCTGTCACTGTCTTCACGCTTTGGGGGTGGGCTGAGGTAGGAGGGTGTGACGCTGGTATTTGTGTGAACTGGGGCTGTGATGCTGAGCTTGGTTCATCCCTTTCTCCTCCCTTTTCCTCCCGGCTCCTTCCCACCAGCGCCACAGCAACATCCTCAGAGTCTGAGCGAACTGCGCCCAGCCTAGGCATTGAGAGCCTCCCACCGCCAGCAACCTGCGGCCGGAGTGAAGACAGGGAGGGCAGTAACAGCGCCTCGCCTCCACTAGTCCGCAGACCACCATGGCCAAGAACCGCAGGGACAGAAACAGTTGGGGTGAGTAACAAACGGTAACTTCTGCAGCCTGCTCGGGGTCTGGCCCTCCGCTTTCTGCTTTTGGACACAAGGAGGGCCAACGGTTGCCTGGTGCCAGCATCGGTAGCTGGGAGCAGGCCGCTGCCAAGCTACCCTGTAGGGCCCGAAGAACCATGGCCGAGCTGTACCCGCGTCACCGAAATCGCGCTGTGGGGGCGAGAGCTGCCTCTGCGTGCAGGCCCCGCCGTCAGCTTCTTCCCCCACCCGGCGCCCGCCTCTTCGCAGCATTTGGACAGCACCCACCCAGCGCCTGCGGGGATGGGAGCTTTCCGCATCAGCCATAGGTTGGGAGGGTGGCCTTGAGTGTGGGCGGGGGGCAGTCGTTACCGGCCCAGAGAGTGAGGGGTCGGGATCTTGACCAGGGGGAGCCCCAACCCCATTTCCCCCCGAGCTGCAAGCTTGAGGGCCCAGCACGGCGCGGGCTCCGAGCGCGCTTTGGAACAATGAAGGGGAGCGCACCGGGGCGGACCGATCACTGCGGACCCAAACACCCCGGGAGAAGGGGTACCGTCTTGGGAGTCCCGGAGCGCTGCAGTACTTGTTTTAATTCGGTGGTCGGAAGGGGGAATTTGGGAAGAAGGGGAGCAAAGTTGCGGTTTCCAGTCTTCTGCCCCACCCCGACCTGCTACCGCATACAGACCAGCCCCAAGGGTGGCTTTGTTCTTTGATTTTACCTTTTGGAGATAGTGGGCTCATGATTCAGCACCAGGCCGAGGGGAGGGGAAAGGAGAGGCCGGGCCCTGTGGGTTCACGCCGCGAGTGGGTGGGCGGCGCTCACGTAGGCGGAGAAAAGCGAGCGCAGGGATGCAGGAGAAGTCAGGGCCCCGCCCGCTCTGCTGCCTCAGACCTGATTCTAGCTGCTGTGTGTGGGCAGGTTGGACGTCCTTTTTCGCCTTGGGCTCCCGATTTCTTGTCACAGTGCTTAACTCCCCAACATTTTAGGAACTAAGTGCCTCTAAGGCATTTTATTTTCTGACCACTGCGGAGCTCAGCCCTCTGTGACATGAAGGATTGAGAAATCCTTCTTTTTTTTGTTCTTTAGCTTTTGAATTGTTACTATTTTGAAAATTTGCAGCCACTAGGAGTTGAAAGCTGTTTGATTCTCTTCGGTGTTTAAGTGCCATGTCTTGTGTAACTATATGACCAAGTTGGTTATTTCAATTTACTTTTATCAAAAGACAATACATCATCTTGCCTTTGATGGTTCTGATGGTCACAGGATCAACTTGACCATTTGTGGGCCAGGCTTGCTTTTGAAAGGTTATCCAAGGTTTGTGATAGGTGTGGATAGTTAGTTGGAGCAGGGAGGTCTGTCATTAGTTGAATGAATTTAAGAGAAAGCAGTTTTATTTTCTGAGATCATCCAGTCCCAATTTTAGTAGGTGTGACTCTTGCGACAAGTTTTCTTTCCTTCTTTAAAAATCTGGATAAATGTTTTCAGAGTGTTCCCTTTCCACACTTTCTCTTGTTCTCCAGAATAGGAATTTCTTGAACACTCACAGTTAAGGTGCTTATGTTCAGGTCACATATGGTCTTGATCTCATCAGCTCCACCCTATTAAGAAACTGACATATGAAACTTTACTCTGAGGATTAAAATTTTTCTTGTTTCTATTGCTTTGGGTCGTTATTTTTCAGTATATGATTGAGAAGCAGATGGTCTGGGGATGTTACTTTGAGAGACACTATCTTAGCTCATTTGTATTTGATAGAAACATTTCTTAGTTTACCTAGTAGTCATTGGGACAGTTTCAACTCAAGTGACAGATTAGGAAAAGAAATGCCAGAGTCATTACATGCTCACTGGAAATCTTCACAGGAAAGAAATAGTGGAATTGTGGAGTTTTATCTTGATGTTCTATGCAAATGCTTTACTACTTAGACTTCTATTTGCTTTGAATATGTATGATATAAATGATTTAGAAAATGAAGCATATGGAATAGGAGATAGAAATTTTAGCAAAGATGTTAGCCAGGTCTGTCTTAATTCCATTTTATTACCAAGCACTTAATAAGATGCTTAACACGCAGTAGGTGTTTAATGATAGCAACAATAGCTGTTATCAGCTATTATATGGAGTAAGCACACTAATCTTCATTTTACATACAAAAAGGTGGAGCTGGTAAATGATTTGGAGTTCAGATTCTTTTGTCTTTATCACTATTCCATACAGCCTCTCTACTGAATGGATAATACTATCCACATAGCATAGAACTACATTTTTTAAGACACATTCACCTGTATGATTGCTTTTGGTCTTTAGTCTCTTAAGTATTCATATATCTTAGCACATCTTTTTTTTTTTTTTTTTTTGCAGGTGGAAAAAACCTAAGTTTTCGGTAGGCTAAATGACTTGATGAAATTCATATATTTAGTAAGTGTGAGGATTGAGTTTAGAACCTGGGTTTTTCCCCCTAAATTATTTTCTATAACATGATACTGTGGAATATTTTTAATAAAAGATTGGGCTGGGCTGTGAGGCTAGTAGAGGAAACATGTCCTCATAGAAGCCATAGGCCTCTGATGAGAAAACAGTCATGGTAGCTTAAAAAAGAAGATGGTGAACTGACCTTATCATTCTAGCTAAGTAAATATTTTTTCAGACAAGTTTGAAGGAAAAAGGCAGGGATTTAAGGTAAATAGTCCAGAATTGGAAAATATTTCATATCCCAAGAAAAGAGCTTGCAAAATATCTGCAGGATCTGTATAGGAGAGATAAAATTCAGATGAAGACCTTGTAAGACCATGGAACAAGTATTATTTTTAATGAGTGGCCAGAGACCTGTTAGGTCTTGCCCAGACCATTGAAGCTAGAAAGCAGAAAAACATCTCTGCTGTGAACCAGAGTTCAGGGATGGTGTTTAGGATCACACTCAGAGACACACCGGGAAGCAGAATTGAGAATAGAACTAAGAATCTCACTACCTATCCCTCAGTCTGCATTTAAGAAGTCTGAATATCTTTATATACTCAATGGTCAACTCTTCAAAGGTAGGCATTTTATTCTTATTTTAATGTATTAGGAATCTGAGATTCAGAGAGCATAAAGAACTTGGTAGAAGCATCACAATTTTCATCTAGAACTTAAATTCAGGATTGGCTGCTTCTAGAGTCCATATGATAAGGATAGGAAACTAGAATAATGTGCCAAAAGGTGTCACAAGCCTACTTAGGATTAAGCTGGTATAAAAAAAATCAATGCCCTATAAACTTGATCACTTTGGACTAGAAAAGTAGGTAAAGAATGTGCTAATGTGGAAAATAAAGAGGATAGATGAATATCAGAAACAGTAGCCCAGAAAGCAGTCTTTCAGTGCTGGACTAGAGCTTACTACCAGAAACAAAACAGAGTGTGTATGTATATGTATTTTGTTGTTGTTGTTAATTTGTTTCTGTTAATGAAAGTTGCTGAAAACTTGGGATACCATATGGGGATTTGAGTTTTTTAGAATTTACAGAAACCAATGGTGCATTATTGCTTTAGAAGAATAACGTTGGCACTAAAAGTGTCAGCTTTGGCTGCCTTAAAAAAAAGAAGATCTATCTTAGCATCATAATAAAAGGCATTTGAGGAAATTATTTTCTAAGAGAAGTTAAAAACAATCTGGAGAATAATATAGTTAACTCTTGATCTTCTTTCTTTTCTACTTGGTTATGTTCTCTTTTTCTTAAAATGAGGCTATTTAATGTTCCTTTTTTTCCTTACCTCAATTTCTAAATACCTTACCTTCCTAAAACAAAATTGAATTTCTTCCAGGTCCTACACTTACTGTATGACAGATAGTATATGTATGACATTTACTGTGGATCTCCCTCCCTCACATTTTTCTTATTAAATTTTCTTTCCCTGGGGTTGGGGTTGGGGTTCAGCAGTAGAGCACTTGCCTAGCATGTACGAGGCACTGGGTTTGATCTTCAGCACCATATAAAAAATAAAAAATAAATAAATACATAAATAAAATAAAAGTGTTATGTCCAACTACAACTAAAAAAAACTTTTTAAAAATTGTCTTCTCTGAATCTTTTTTAAAATGCATTTTCACATGTGTGTGTACGTGTGTGTATGTAATTAGCACCTGCTTATTTATACCTTGTCTTGATGACTCCTGGATTATACCTTTGCTCCATTCTCAAACTCTGTAACCTATAATAGCTTTAGAACAGACTGCAGTAAGCTAGAACCTCTGATCATTGGAAAAAAGAAAAAAGTTTTTATTTTTGGAGGATTTTCTTCTTTTACATAACAATTCTTATGAATCATATCTGTATACAAAAGAACATATAAAATATACATGTTCAGTTTAAAAAAGAGTAACAATGTCCCCAACTCCTTAATTGAAGAAATAGAACTCTATCAATATTTTCTCACTTCTCATGTGACCTTCCTTAATGACATCCTCATCCTTCCAAATATAGACACTTTAACAGATTTGGTGTTGTTTCTCCCCTGATCATTTTTATAGTTTTACTACAAATAAATATATATCATATTAGTTTTATATTTTTTAAATATTTATTTTTTAGATATAGGTGGACACAATATCTTTATTTTTATTTTTATGTAGTGCTGAGGATCGAACCCAGTGCCTCAGGCATGCTAGGCAAGCACCCCACCTCCGAGCCACAACCCCAGCTCCTAGTTTTATTTATCTAACGTGGTCTTAGATTATGGCTCAGTAGTAGAGTGCTTGCTAGCATATGTAAGGACCTGGGTTCAATCCTCAGCACCACATAAAAAAAAACCCCAATAAATAAAAATAATTATTTAAAAAAGAATCTTATATAAATGGACTTTATAGTAAGCATATTCTCCAAAAATATTTTGTTCACTTCTCATCCTCACCTACACTTCATTTTGTAATATGTATCATGAGACCTCATTGTAGTTTCATGTTGCCTTTTACTAATTGCCAGGGAGGTGTGAGATATGTTCATATATTTATTGATCATTCATATTTCTTATTCAATACTGTTGCCCTTTCCCATTGAAAATTAGCTTATATTTTTCTTCTTGCTTTGTATGAGTTCTTTACATATTTTTTAATATAAGTGGTTTGTTGATGTAGTACATCTCTTTTGCCATTTTGTGACATGGCTTTTGTCCATGTGATCTATTTTAACAAACAAATACCTTGTGTTTATATGTAATCAGTATTTTCTACTATGGTTTCTACTTTTTGTATTTTAAGATATTTTCCCCTGGGCTGAGGTTGTAGCTCAGTGGTAGATCACTTGCCTAGCATGTGTGAGGTACTGGGTTCAATTTTCAGTGCATATAAATAAAAAGTCCCATCAACAACTTAAATAAATAAATAAATATATATATATATCTTCCCCTACGCAAGGTTGTAAAGTATTCTCTCTTATCTGGCTTTAATTTTTTGCACTTCATTTTTTTTCAATGTTTTTAATGTGGTGAAATGTATTTAACATGAATTTTATTGTCTAACCATTTTAAGTGTACAGTATGGTGATATTAAGTGTATTCATATTGTTATGCCTCCATCACCACCATCCTTCTCTTGAATTATTCGTCTTGTAAAACTGATACTCTGCCCCCACTGAACAATAACTCCCCATCCTTTCTATTTCCAGCTCCTTTTGATACCGCTGGTTACCTGTGACCAGTTCTGCTTCCTCACATGTTGAAGTATAAAATTAGAGAAGCATGTAGAGGCAAGCATATAAAGCAGGATTTATTTAAAAAGGGGCAACAGACTTCTCCCAAGAGGGAAAAGGGGGCCATAGCTGGTATCCTGGTATCCTAAGAAGTGAGGGTGTTCTGCCTTTTTATATTTCTTTGTTTTCCTGCTCTCTTCCCCTTGTCTTTCTCCTTCCTTTGTATGTGACTA